CTGTCTCTCACCTGTCTCTCACCTGTCTCTCACCTGTGTAGGTATGAACTTACCTGTCTCACCTGCCTCTAACTCACCTGTCTCTCACCTGTACAGGTATGAAGACGGTGTTTGCTGGCTCCAGCTGTAACGACATCGTGTGCACAGAGCAGTGTGTGATGAGCGGACACTTTGATAAGAAAGTGCGGTTCTGGGACATCAGGTGAGTTTAACAGCCTGCAGGTGAGACCAGGTGTTCGGTGACATCACAGGTTGGTTGACCAGTGGCTGTTCCTGATGCGTGTTCACCTGCCGGCTGCAGAGCGGAGAGCATTGTGCGAGAGCTGGAGCTGCAGGGCAGAGTGACGTCTCTGGACCTGAACCACGACCGCAGCGAGCTGCTCACCTGCTCCAGAGATGACCTGCTGAAGATCATCGACCTGCGCACCAACGCCATCCGACAGACCTTCAGGTGAGGCAGGAGGTGGGCGGGGCTTACAGGTGGGACCACACTGACAGGTTTCTGTATAAATCCTGTGGTTTCTAATCAGTCACCTGCTGTTTTTATCGTTTCAGTGCTCAGGGCTTCAAGTGTGGAGCTGATTGGACCAGAGTCTCCTTCAGGTGAGTCCAGCTCTTCACTGAGTTTATCTCCACCGTGAGTTCACCTGCTGACTCTCTGCTGTCTGTTCATTGTTCACAGTCCTGACGGCAGCTACGTGGTCGGAGGCTCAGCAGACGGCGCTCTGTACGTCTGGAACGTCCTGACGGGGAAAGTGGACCGAACTCTGGACCGAAACCACAAGTAAGAACAGCTGCAGGTTCATGTGTTACCTGGAAACTAAACGGAAACAGATCAGTGAGCAGAACCTTGTGACGCAGTGCAGAAAGCGATGACAGGAACTTCTCTGTGCCTGTCTTTGGTCTGCAGCTCTGCCATTAACTCGGTGTCGTGGTCGCCGTCGGGAGCGTACGTCGCCAGCGTGGAGAAAGGCAGCAGGGCCATCCTGTGGTCTGACATGTGATTGGCTGAGCTGAGCAGTCGGAGGCGGCTGCAGGACTCTGATGATGATGATGATGACGAAGGACTGCTCTGTGGAGACCAGCTGCTGCTTCAGTCACATGTTTTCTGTGTTTGGCTTCAGGAGTTTTAATGTTGTTCGGTGTTGTTTTAACTGTGACAGAAGACGGCTGGTCGCTCTGCACCCGATCTGATGGTTGATAGTTTAATTCTCGGCTGCTGGACGGACTGCAGCTGCCTCGTTGCCGTCGTGTGTTTGCAGCAGCGTCTTCGTCGAGCTCGAGGACATTTTCATCCTGACAGAAGAAGAGCAGCTGAGGACGGCAGGTGATTTATTAACCTCCATATCTCACATTACAGAACCTCCAACCTAAAGCTTCTGCAGAAACACTGTTTGACCCGATGATGATGATGATTAAAGGGACGAGGAAGGAGATGGTGTTTCTGTGACGTGTCTGAGTGTTGGCTGCACAGCATCACTGTTGGAAACAGAAGAAACGCAGCATCTGTGACGTTATTTTACATTAAACCTGCATCACAGTCAGCGAGTGGCTTCTGTTTCATTCACACACTGCTCTTTATTAGACTCAACACAGCTTTCTCTCTTTACATCCTCAAACAGACAGAACGCGACACTGGCTGATGACTGGATGTTCTGATCCGATCTGTACCAACCCTCAGTCCGACCTTCAGTTTACTGTCACACAGGTGAAGGAACATCTGTGTGACAGGAAAAAAAACATTCCATGATCAATAGCACTACCTATCAATAATCAATACACACTGATCGCAGTGGACATTGATCCCTGATGTTGCTGGTCCATGTGTCATTGTGATCCAGGAACTCTGTTGATCCCAGTTTAGACTCCTGAGCTCTGGTTGGAGGTCCTGAACCTCCTCAGAGTCTCTGTCATGGTCCCATGCTAAACTCCCACAATGCTCTCTGCTGCCACCATGAGCTGCAGTCTGTAGACGCCTCCTCTGGTCTCCATGGGATTAAACAGGAAGAGGCTCCACCTGCTGGAACAACCAGGTACTGCAGCTGGTCTGTGGTACATTTACTGACAT